GGAATAAGGAGAGATGCTGGTAAGGGTGCACCTGTTGGAAAAATGATATAGGCCGGGCGCGGTGGCTCACGCCTGTAATCCTAGCACTCTGGGAGGCCGAGGCAGGCGGATCGCTCAAGGTCAGGAGTTCGAAACCAGCCTGAGCAAGAGCGAGACCCCGTCTCCACTAAAAAACAGAAAGAAATTAATTGGCCAGCGAAAAATATATAGAAAAAATTAGCCGAGCATGGTGGCACATGCCTGTAGTCCCAGCTACTCAGGAGGCTGAGGCAGAAGGATTGCTTGAGCCCAGGAGTCTGAGGTTGCTGTGAGCTAGGCTGACGCCATGGCATTTTATACTGGGAAACAGAATGAGACTCTGTCAAAAAAAGAAAAATGATATACCATCTAACAAATGTTGGATAAAAACATTAAATATTTTTGTTTCCAAACAAATAAAATAATTTAGTCTTTATATAGAACTAAAATAATTTCCTATAACACATATGTTTTCATTGTTCTTCAACATTTCTTTTTTTAGTCTTTTTGATTTTCTTTTTTTACAGTCTATATGTAAGGTGCATAACATGATGTGTTGATATACATATACTAGTGAAATCATTACTAAAAATTACCATATAGTTTTACATATATCATCTACATATTTACATTATCATTAACATATCCATGCTCATGTGTGTGTAGTAAGAGCACCTAAAATCTACTCTTAGAAAATTTCCAGTAGACAATGTTTACAATAAATTTTCTTGATGAAAACAAAACAACAACAGCAGCAAATGCCAACACCATTGAAGAAAGCTTCCTGTGTCATGAGCTCCATTGGAAACCTCAAGTATTGTTCATGAAAAAGTGAAAAGTTTCTTTTCCCAGCATCATTTTCATTGGAATAATAATCTTGATGCCTTGTAAATAGACCGGGTGGTTGATTTCATCACAGCCATGATTTGGGATGATCATTTTGGGATGCAGTGAGAGTTTTTGTTCAACCAGACACAGAATGAGCAATGCAGAGAAGGTCCCTGTTGTCATGGAGCTCAAGTTCTACTAGAGACAGGAAAAGAAAAGAAAAGAAAACAATAAAGCAGGATAACTTCAGAGCTCAAAGATGCCGGGCTCAGCTGTGCGGGCTATGCACAGACTCCATGACTCCATTCACTCTGTAGTCTAAACGAATGGCGCCCCCTGGCTTGTGCGCTGCCCCACCTGTGCAACAGTACGCAGCAGCCCCGCACAGTTCAGACAGTAAAAAATGCTACCAGGAAAATAAAACAGGGTGACCGGTGGTGACTGGGTGGCGGTCAGTATTACGGATCAGGTGGGCAGGAAAAAGCCTGTCTGAGGAGACGTCATTTGAAGTGAAGAAGGAAGAAGCTGCGCCGAGATCTGAGAGAAGAGCACTAGAGGCAGAGGGAATGGTGATGCAAAGGTCCTGTGGCAGACTGAATAACAGTCTCTGGAACCTGCGAGTCTGTTACTTTACAAGGTTAAATGGACTTTGCAGGTGTGATTAAAGTTAAGGATCTTGAGGTGGGAAGATGATCCTGGGCTATCCAGATGAGCCAAACGCAACCACAAGGGCTGTCATGAGGAAGCAGGCAGGAAGGTCGGAGCGAGTGGTAGAAGGTGAGACTGTGAAAGGAGAGGTCGGAGTGATCCCAGGAAGAGGGCCAAGAGCCAAAGAATGTGGGTGGCCTCCAGAAGCTGGGAAAGGCAAGGACATGGTTTGTCCCCATAGACCCTTCGAAAAGAGCCAGCTCTGCTGACGCCTTGACTGTAGCCCACTGAAGTCCACTTTGGACTTCTGACCTCCAGAACTTTCGGATAATAAATTCACGTTGGCCTAAGGCACTAAGTTTGCAGGGAAGTGTTACAACAGCGATGGGAAACTAGTACAGATGCTACGGCAGAAACGAAAGCAGCCGGGAGCAGGACTGGGCTATGTTAGAAGACGAGACGAGAACAGACCAAAGGCCACCTCCCCTATGGCCTGCACTGAGCATGCTGGATTTTGTTTGGAAGGTGGCGGGAAACCAATGGAGAGTTTTAAGCAGGGGAAGAGCATGTTCTGGTTTCTGTTTCCAAAAGATGACACTGGCTGCTCTTGGAGAGGTGTGAACAGCCACCAGGAGCAGCAGGCAGGAGGCCGTGAGCAAGCCAGCAGTCCAGGGGCAGCCGATGGTGTTCGGAGAGAAGTGTTTTGAAGTGTCGCATTAATGCAAGACAACCAACAGAGCAGCAAGAAACATATCTGGGTTTATCGCTTGGCAGGCAAGGGAGACAAGTGCAAAGGGGTTTTATGTACAGTAGAGGAAACAACTGGGTTTAAGGCACCAGTGAGAAAGTACAAGAAGAAAGGCAGGATTCTGAGACCAGGTGTCTGGTTGGCTCGTGAGATGGATTGTCACTCATTGCAATTGGCTATTACACTAGTTCATGACACAAAAGCTCAGGCATAGTTTTCAAGAAGTTGGGATGAGTTATTGAGGTTCTGGTGGGTTCTATGTCATCCAGTGGGCAAATTCATATACTTATGCTCAAGATGCATAGAGATTTTTCTTTAATAGGAGGCAGGGACTAATTAATTGGATATAGGAGGTGAGGAAAAGAAAGAAATGACAGCTAATTCTTAGGTTTGGGGCTTACATAGAAGGAGGGTGGACATACTGTACTATGACACAGGAGTAGCTGGTTTAGTGGGAGAATTAAGAGCCGTGTTTGGACGTTTGAAGTCGAGATGCCCTAAATGTCCAGCGAGCATTTAGACAGCTGAGTCTGAAGGTCAGAGGAGAGGATTGGGCTGGAGATATAAATTTACAAGACACTACACATGCACAATCAACTTTATTGTGCTATAGTTTACATAAAATGATACACACCCGTTTTAAGCGTATAGTTCAATGAGTTGTACCCAGGTAACCACTATCACAGTCAAGATATGGAACAATTCAATTGCCCTAAAAGGTTCTCTTAATCCTTTGCAGTCAATTTCCCCCTCACCTGGCCCTGGGAGACAGCAGATCTTCTTTCTATCACTGCAGATTACTTTTGCCTTTCTGGAATTTCTAGAAACAGAATCATACAGTACGACCTCTTTGGGTCTGATTTCTTTTGCTCAGATAACATTTTTGAGATTCACCCATGTTGTTGCATGTATCATTAGTTTGTTTCTTTTCATCGTTGAGAAACATTTCATTGTATGGACATACCACAATCTGTTTACCCATTTGTTTTCTGAAGGATATTTGGAATTTTGACAAATAAATTTACGTTTTGTATTACTTGTACAATTTTATTTCATTTTAATTCATTTTCAAAAGAACATCACATTTTGCATGAAAAAATTATTTTTCATGTATTCTACTTGTGTAAAATAAATATATTTATAATATTTATAAACATAATAAATATATTTAAATATATTTATAAATATAATTGTAATTAAAATAAATATATTTATAATGCAATGAAGTAAAATTTAGTGCAAAGGTTTTAGATACATGTTTATGTGTATTGTTTCTGAAGATAACTTATTAATGTGTACCAGATTCTTGGAATTCACAACTTAAAATGGTTAAGAACCACGGGCTCAGATCTATGTTCTAGGTAAGACAGGGGCTGTGTACCACTGGCCCTAAAAGATTGTGGGGAAAAAAAGTCTCTACCATCAGATGTATTTGGGAAATGATGCATAGAATAGCCTCCTCTTGGGGATTTGCCATGCTCGGATCGTATTAGAAGCTCTAATAACTACCATAATGAAACCTCTAACTTTGTTAAACCAGAGTCACTCAAGTTAATTTGACCTCAGAACCCTTGTTTCTCGTGTCATTTATTACCCCCTCCCCTCAATGAACATGATGGGAAATGGGGCTCTAGAATATTCTCAATCTTTGGATTATGCTAGAGTTCAGGGAGCTGTTTCACAAAACTGCTTCTACTGAACTCCATCTTGACTTGGGACTTCCAGCCAATTTTGAGGAACTTCATAAAATATGGGCCAACAGGCAGAGGCATTTAGTCACCCTGTTCCTCAAGAAAGAGGGAGAGAGGTTATCCCAGCCTAGGAGAGAGGTGAAGAGAATTCTCAGGATGCTGGTTAAGGGAAATGCCAAAAGGACAGCTCTATGCAGGCTTAGGGAGCAACCAGTCCAGGGTGAAGTAGGAGGATGGAGCCCCTGGGGATGGCTCTAGGGAAAAAAATGAAATCGATGGATTATATGATGAGACAGGCGAAGTAGGAGATTGTATTAGCCATGGAGGGCTACAGGAAGAGGTTCAAAGATAGCTAAGTAAAAATGACAATAAAATAAAAAGAGAAAGAGGAAAAGAAAGATTAACTACTACAAGGAAAAAAAAAAGTTTCTATAGGACATATGTCATTCTAGTTAACTACTAGGCTCATCCAGTAGCAGTAGTTATATGCAACATAGCAACGCAAACTCTAAAGTTGGATTTAACCCTAAATTGTGATGTAGCTATTAATATATTGGGAGGATGTGGAGGAGGAAAGAGAGTGTAGCCCTTGAAGCTAATATCCTCACCTACCATAACAAGAAGTCAATAGGTAGAGAAGCCAAGGTATCCATTGTATGATATCTCTTAGCAGAACCGGTGCGAGGCAGAGAGGCAGTGATTTGAAGAACTCCAAAGAAAATTATCCAACTTTCTGCATTTCCCATTATTTGCCGTTTGCAGTTATGTTCTATTTAGGGAGTCTTGTTAGCCTACTGGGTTGTATCCCTAAGAACAGTACCTATAACTTGAAAGGTAGACTCAACAAGAAACAAAATCTCCTGTAGCTCTTTTCCCTTGAAAGAATTTTGGGTTTTTTTAGTGCTGGATGTGGGACCAGATAATATCTCATTTTGAATCCCAAAGAAGGCTCAACTTATTGGGCTTTATAAACATGTGCCGTATGTAGGCAGAAGAGCTCTGTAAAGGTGTGGGCTGCAATTTGATTTGCGAAGAGAACATTTGCTTTTACATACCTTGTTTTCTGGGCAGACCCCATTTTACTCTCTTCTTGGGGACGATGTCAAGTGCATCTACCGAGAGCCTCTGCTGTAGAGATCGAGAAGGCTGAAGCCTGTTGGACAGAAACGTTCAACAACTCTTTCCCCTTCCGTTTTCCTCTCCAGTTCCTAAGTGATTTGGGGTCGTATTTACACTCTGCATCCATTTATTTGGGTCCCCATCTCATTCAAGATTCTCAGTCTCAGTTTTGTGACTTGTGTGGTGAGGTATGGGTAAGAGCTTTCTAAAAATAAACCATAAAGAGCCACTCTTCACCTGCTACTAGAATGTTCTTTTGCTTGGTGAGGTCTGGTCAAACTCTACACTTTTCTCTGGCATGTCTTCTTGCTTATTTCTCTTAAACATAATTGCAAAAGCGAATATGTATAGGGCACTTACTATCTTACTTTGTGCTGGGTTCCCTACTACGTGCTCTATGTCCATTATCTCATTTAGTTTTTATGACAACCCAAATGAGGTAGGAGCTCTTTACATCTCCATCTTACAGATGAAGAATCCAAAGACCGGGGACGCTAAGTGATTTGTTCACCTGGTTTGTCAGGCTCCATGACATATTGTCTTCCAGTTCTGCCTTTAATTGCCACAGCCTAGACTTGCACGGGGCTTCTCCTCCCCTTGGAACTTGGAGAATTCAAGGGTGAAGTTAAGCAATGAGAGCTGCTCTAGGAGCGAGGAAGACTGGCGTCTGTTCCCTGTTCTCACCAGCAGGCGGCACAATCACCCAGCAGAATTCTCACGTGAACGTACTGCTTCCACTTCAGTGGGGTCACTGGCAGCTCAACGGGACTATCAAACTGTTTTTTTCTGGCTGAATTTGCCTTATCTTGATCAGTGAAGGCAGTCCGTGAGGACAAATGGTGCAATGCGAAGCCAGCGTGCCATTACAGGGATCCTTGTATTTCTTTGGAATGCCCCTAATACGCTCACTTTATGGCAATTTTGTAGATCATTTTAAATCTCAGCCGTCTTTCTCGTGCCACCCAGTGTTCTTCTGGCCACGTTGTTCAAAGCTCCATTGAATGAGAAAACCCAATTTTTAAAACAAATGTAAACTTCCTTTTACACAAGGACAACATGAGTTACAGAGCAAAGAGCAACTGTATGACCTCGAAGTGACTTCGATTGAGCTTAAGTCACCTCTGTGGCCACCATTTGGACTGGATTCAAATCCTGGTTTCGCCTCTGTCATCCTGACCTCTTGACCTCTCTGTGCCTGGGTTTCCCTGGCTGTCAAGTTCACGGTACCTTCTGCATTGGGTTGTGGCAATGGCTACAGGAGGTGGATACAGTGAAAGCCCTTGGAGAAGAGCCAGGCACATGGTCAGTGTCATAAGTGATATTATAGATTAGATTATAAGAGCTGTCGTGAAGCCCCACTCCCTCCAGTTCCAAGGACTCTCACACATTCTATTTACCGAAAGAATCTTTTGCTAAATAGAGTTGTTTTAGCTCTTGCTAGGACTCTAAATATTTTGTTGGACTTGCTTCCGTCTCCTCCATGTAGTACCTTTGTGACCAGTGTCTCTTCTACAAGACAACAATGTCACAAAGCCATTTGGGGAGTGTCCCAGAGAGGGGAATTTAAACAAAATTTGGCTTATAGGGAGACCTTCAGAACAGGGGCACCTGCCTGGACTTACACTGTCCTTCTCCTCAACCCGCACAACCACCCGGAGATGGCCACGCTTGGCTCCTCTCCCGGGTCCCCAGGACGCTGTCCTTTGGCTTGTGTTCTCACTGGGAATGGTGCTGCCCGCCGAGGCCGCCCCAAGGGGAAGGCTTTTCCTGGGGAGAGACGCTCACCGAGCCCAGGCCCGGTCTTGGCTGGAGCTGGCTCCTTGGGGCCCAGAGAGGGAACCCGTGCCGCTCTGCCCAGAGCCACACTCCACACGGGCACACCCCATCGGGCACCCACGTTAATGCCCAACTGCCAGTCAGTATTTAACTTTCCACATAAGATTAGATTAAACATTTGGGTTCATAAAAGCCAGGGATTGCAGACTGCGGTTAGCGAGGGCTTAGTTGGTCACAAGCTGGAGGTCCCAGCAGGCTGAGGTTTGTGCCTGAACCTGAAGAGCCCCCGCCAGCTCAGCCAGAAAGTTCAGAACAGCCTGGCTTTGTGAGGGAATTTCATACCCTCACACACGGCATAGGTACGTTTTATTACAAATTCTTCATTTTTTGAGGAGTTAATTAACAAAGTTACCTATTTTCCTTTCCCAGAAAACCATAAAAGGAATGATTTTCCTGGTATATGGCCTAGTTTTCTCACCCGTCCTTCCTTCCTTCCTTCCTTCCTTCCTTCCTTCCTCCCTCCCTCCCTCCCTCCCTGTTTACCTTACTTATTCCTTCAGTGACTGCTTTTGAGTAAAAATTTTGAAATTATTTATTTTTTATTTTTTAATGGGGGATTCATGGTAAATGAGATTAATATATTTTTCTATTCTTGCTATGAAAATGAAAGACATTGATGCCTTTTGTAGGCGCAGGTGACACAAATGACCCACCATCTCTCAAGAAATGAGAGCTTTGGACTTTGGGGTCAAGTGAATGTTAACTTTCCTTATAGTGTCCAGATTGCCCTTGTCAGGAATCACACACATCTGTGACAGAGATGGCTGGAATTAGAGAACCATTCCGTAGCCTGGAGACAGGGCACAATTAATGCGATGGGTAAGCTCAGACTGTGGTCTTGATCTTGTATCTTTTACCCAGTTGAGCCACAGGCAATGGAAACAGACTTACCGGAATGTGTGACCTCTGCTAGGACAATGAGTACTGGGCACTGGCCTGGGTGGCTTGGGTTCTAGTCCAGGCACTGTGGCCAGCTTGAGAGCCCTGTGATCCTGGACAGGTGATTTAAGCTCGCTGAGCTATGTTATCCCACCTACCAAAGACCAAGCCAGCCCAGATGATCTCTGGGGGCCCACACTTAGTGACTCAGCAAGAACCATTTATTGGAAATGTAGGTCCTGTTAGGTTGAAACACATGAAATTGCCGATATTTAACCATTTCTAACCTATATAAATGGCAATGTCATGATGGTTCAAAAGAGCACAAATAATAGTTGTCTTAGCATTTCTAAAGTAAATGCCAATTATGGTATTCTATTTAGGGGTAGGATAAGCATGCATACCAAATATGGGCAATGTCTACTGGTTAAATAGTTATCCTGGGAATCAAAAATTTAAACCAACCCATTTATAATTTGCATAAATTTTGGCATAATGTCCTTCAATGAAATTGCTTTCATATTCTATGATTTGGTTCTTTCCTGTGGTCATAGAACAGCCACGGACTACTCAGCCACATCTCACGCATCAGTATTCAGAAAGGGGATCTGCCTTGGACCTTACTTTTCCAGCCTGGCCCGGGGTCAGCACTTAGCTACTTAATCCCCCACAAGCCCTTCTCGTCTCCATGAGTAAGTCTTATCAAAAAGCACCTCCTGATCTGCTTAGCAGTGGGCCTTTGTCCAGGCTAGAATTGCTGAGCAAATAATGGACAGTATTGGCCACTTAGCTCTAAAGGGCTGGTGAGGGCTGCCTTGCCCACACCTGGAAACAAACCCAAGTGACTCCAGTGGAATTCGGCACTGAAGTCCCTTATCTCAAAGGTATTTTGTTGTCGAGATTCTTGGATGGGCTTTCAGAGGCCCAGGAGTCCCACAAAATTGGATGTGGAGCTCTGTATGTGCACGTGCATGCTTTTCTGGGGTAAAATAAAATAACATAGTTTTATTTCATTTTCAAAGGATCTATATAACAACCCCCCCCACACACACACACACATACACACAATTAAGTTAAGAATCATTGTTCTGATGGTTTCATTAATTGAATTCTACAGAGAGAAGAACTGTCATTCATTCGTCCATTCATTCACTAAACATTTAGTAAAGATCTGCTCTGTACCCACCACTGTGTAGGGCCTGGGCCCCAGAGATGAATAGAACCATCCCTGCCTCCAGCACCTCAAGCTCTCATGTTGTCATGATTCAACTTAATCTCTCTCAACATCATGGAGGTAAAAAATTTAGTGAATAAATGGATATTAGGGGAAAAAAGCCAACATGGTAGTTTGTAGAGAAGCACAGAAAAGGGGTGTCTGTCTAGACTTGGGGAGAGCAGGTGGAGGCAGTGACAACAGACCTGGGCTCCTAAAACTACAAAAGAAAAAGAACTATGTCACCTAGAGTCTGCAAACACGAACTGTATTTCTTTCTCCTCGAGCAGGGTGACACCAGAAGCAGAAGGTCATGTCACTGTTCTTTCCTCTTTGCTTCCAGCTCCACCTCCTCCCCACTTGAAGTACTTACTTCAAGTGACCCAGCCCATTCCAGCCCTTGACTCTTAAGGCTTCTCTGGGGCATCCGGTCTCAGTGGCCTTGCTAAATATCAGGACATCCCTCTCCCATGCCAGCTTGTATGCACAGAAAGTTGCCTGCATTTTTCACGTACGGTGAGAAGCTCGTGAGTTACTTTGATGAAAACATTCACAGAAAGATGTGGGTAGTGAACATGGCCTATGCAGTGGCCATTGCCGTAGAGTATTAGGACCTTTCCTTCTTCCACTTAAAGGAGTAACTGGGGGAGCTCTGAGCTCAGTGGCACAGACAGCCCATGATGGAGCTACGTGGGTGGCCAGGTGGCAGAAGGACGCAAATCACTCAGGAGCTTGCAATGCCACTGCCTCTGCAGGGAACCCGGGAACAAGGCAGCACCCTGTGCAACCCAGTGGGTGCATAGAATTCCTTCAGAGAAGGACTGTCCAATAACTGACAATGCCTAGAATAATTCCAATCTTGACAGCACCCAGGGAGAACACCACAGGGCATCTGACTCCCTACAGAGAAGGTCCCCAGTTTTCTCCTCTGCCAGTTACCTGAGACCCTGTCACACACAGCTCCCCGAAATGCCCATGCCTAGGGGTGTTCTGCCCACCACCAGACCTTTCCTTTGTCAACTTAGCTCCTCCGGTTCTGTTCTAGCTGTCTCTATGTGCTCCCCAGTTTTCCAACTTGGCCTCACAAACGGAAACTGAACTTTCTCTAGAGGGTGCCCCTGCGGGGTCATATGAGCTGGCACAATGACAATTTTCTTTATTGGAGGAAGCTGTGGAGATGGTTTGGAAGCCACAGGAGGTGAAAACACTCACAGGTGAAGTGATCCTGTTCTACGGACTTTTCCAGATTAACTGGAGAGGGTGAGGGTGGGCTCATCTATTGACAGCTGAAACAAGTATGGACTCGCCCAAAATGGGCAGACTTTGTCTCTTCAAGGGAAAAAGAGGCAGAGGCAAAGTCTAGTGTGGATTAAAGCCAGCTCAGCTCCACTCTTTCACAGGGAGCTGTATTTTTTTAAGAGGGGGAAAAAGAAGCTTGTCTTTGTTACATTGCTTAGAAAATGTGCTTTGTGTAGCTTGGGGCAATCTGATCTATTTGTAAAGTTTCCTTCCAACCCACTAGGCTTTGTGTGGCTAGGAGAGGGAAAGAATGATCTTAGAGTTCTTTGAATGATAGAACTTAAAATGTTAGATTGACAAAAACATACTGTCTTGGTTATGGTAACTCTCAAGGAGGGAAATGTTGGGAAGGCGTATTCTGCGAGACAAATACCTGAAGGTTTATTTGTGTCTCTTTGCCAGATGGGGAGAGCTGAAATTTCTCTTTTTGTGAAGGAAAGCAAAGATGCATGTTAAAGAGAGGGCACACTGCGTTTAGAATAGTAGTGGGCAGACCCACCATTGGGACGTTTGAGTTTTACTGGGTAGGTGGACCCGAGGGTTCTGCTAATCCCAGGTTTACTTACTGCCTGTGTTGTGTCCGGTTTTGTTTACACCGACTTGCCCCATCTATGAGTCGTGTTCAGCCCCGTTGTCTGAGCTCTCTTATCTCTTTTTTAATACCTGTTTCGACTCTTTGCACATTGCATTGTCATTGATTTGCTCTCTTTCACGAAATCAAGCCTCAAGAGACAGAGTTCCTATCATCTCTGCATTTTCAAAGCCTAGCACAGTGCCTGGCACTTTAATTCATTCATCAAACATCCATTGAGCGCCCTCTGCATGTCAGGCTCTGTACCAGACATTTGCTATCCCAGGCTAGACTAAGGTATGGACACAACAGTCCAGTGGTGAGATGAGACCCTAAGCCAATAATTCTCTCTCTCTCTCACACACACACACACACACACACGTGTACATTTAATTCCCACATATGTAAACAGTGCTTTTGAAGAAAGAGATGAAGATGTTATTGGAGAAAAATGGTGGTAGGAACTGATTTAGAGTCAAACCATGGAAATCTTCTCAGAAGAAGTGACAATTTAGGCTGGAACCTAAAAAATGAAGAGGTAGCAGGTGCAAGAGGGGAGCAAAGGTATTCCAGGTTGAGGGAATAGAATGTGCAAATGTCCTGAGGCAAGAGAGCTTACTGACTGGGAGGAAAGAAGACGAGTGTGACCCAACTGTGGTGAGCAAGAGGTAACTGGGGAGGTGGTCAGGAGCCTGCCAGACCAGGCTGTGGAGACCCTGTTAAAGAATTAGGATTTTATTTTAAGAACAACAGGAAGCTATTGCATCATTTTAAAGGCAAGGAAATGGCATGATCCCATTTCTGTCCTAAAAAGGGCATGTTGGGCAGGGCACAGTGGCTCTCGTCTATAATTCTAGCACTTTGGGAGGCTGAGGAGGGAGGATTGATTGAGGCCAGGAGTTTGAGACAACCCTGAGCAAAAAATAGAAAAATTAACCAGGTGTGCTGGTTTGCTCTTATAGTCCCAGTTACTTGGGAGGCTGAGGCAGGAGGATTGCTTGAGCTCAGGAGTTTGAGGTTGCAGTGAGCCATGATCATGCCACTGCACTCTAGCAAGCCTGAGTGACAGAGAAAAGCCCTGTCTAAAAAAAAAAAAAAAAAAAAAAAAGGAGGGAAGAGCACATTGACTGCTATGCAGAGCAGAAGGGGAACATATAACCCCAGTGAGATGGTTCTGGGGAGAGTTGTATTGTCTTGCATTGCAACAATCAGGTGAGAGATGTTGGTGGCCACACAGTGCAGTGGGGATGGAAAATATGAATGATCTCTCAGATGGTTTTTTCCATTACTTACATTATGTACTTCTTTCAAATGTAAATGTACGTACTTCTTCCTTGAGGATACTTGGGACAGGGCACTGCCTAGGTATAGAAGATGGAACAAATTGGAACGTCTGTCAATGCCCCTTGCAACCTTTTGCCTCAATCTTATACCTAAAGCCCCACAATTCTCTAAAAACAGAGACTATAAATGAGTCATTGCTTCATTCATCTGACATTTGTTGAGTACTTATTATGACTGTGGCATTATCCTAGCTGTTGTGCAGTTACCGATCTTTTTAAAAACAAAAGTAATGCAAGATTACTGATGAAAATTTGGAACATGGGAAAAGCATAAAGAAGAAACTTTTTATCTCTAAGTACAGCACCCACTACTAACATTCTGATTTATTTACTTCCAGTCTTCCACATTTTCATATGTGTGCATACATTTGTTTACACATATAATGATATCAAAATGTGTGTGTGTAAATGTCCTCTATTAAAATTTTATTTTTAAATAATCACGCATGCAAAAAGTGAATAAAATGTATACAATCAGCTTAAAGACTAAGAAAATAGGCCGAGTGTGGTGGCTCACGCTTGTAATCCCAGCACTCTGGGAGGCCAAGGTAGGTGGATCGCTCAAGGTCTGAGTTCCAAACCAGCCTGAGAAAGAGTGAGGCCCCGTGTCTACTAAAAATAGAAAGAAATTAATTGGCCAACTAAAAATATATAAAAAAAATTAGCTGGGCATGGTGGCGCATGCCTGTAGTCCCAGTTACATGGGAGGCTGAGGCAGGAGGATCACTTAAGCCCAGGAGTTTGAGGTTGCTGTGAGCTAGGCTGACGCCACGGCACTCTAGCCCGGGCAACAGAGTGAGACTCTCACTCAAAAAAAAAAAAAAAAAAAAGACTAAGAAAATATGTACTAACCAATGACCAGCCAGGTTAGGAGGAAATAATATTACTTCTCCCCTCTCTCCCTCCCCTGAGGTAGCCAGATACTGAAAGGATCTGTTTCCTTAACCTTGTTCATCTATTTTATTATTTAAATTGCAGCAGCAGGGGAACATGTCTACTTTATCTAATTTGACACAGACCCTGGAAGATGCCTTCAAAAGGATTTTTGTCACGTACATGGACAATTGGCGCAGGAACACGACAGCTGAGCAAGAGGCGATCCAGGCCAAAGTTGACGCCGAGAACTTCTACTATGTCATCCTGTACCTCATGGTGATGATCGGAATGTTCTCTTTCATCGTTGTAGCCATCCTGGTGAGCACGGTGAAATCCAAGAGGCAGGAACACTCCAACGACCCCTACCACCAGTACATCGTGGACGACTGGCAGGAAAAGTACAAAAGTCAAATTCTGAATCTAGAAGAATCGAAGGCCACCATCCATGAGAATATTGGTGCAGTGGGTTTCAAAATGTCCCCCTGATAAGGGAGAGAGGCACCAAACCGATCTCTGATATCCAGATACGAAGAGATGCCAGTGCCTCAAAGCAAGTCCACATTGTCATTGTTTGGAAGACAGTGAGTCCCTTCCTCTCTGCTGAGAATTTTCATGGAGATGTGGTTGTTCAACTAAGACAGATGACATTTCAATTTCAGTGATTTATGTTTGCTTATTGGAGCACTATTTGTGCTGAAGCCCTCTTTTACTTTCTGGGCAATGTAAATGTCATTTTAATCAATGTCAATAGTGAAAATAAAGCCAAATTGAAGCAAAGTGCTTGGGCAGTGGCGGTGGGATAGAAAGCAGAGATTTACAAATCACTGAATCTTCTTCCTCATGAAACATCATTTGTATGTGACAAATTCAATGTATAAATAACCCAGACACACTTTCCAGAAGCAGAGTTTCAAAGTCTATCACTTGCTCACTGGATTGACATAGGAGCCCTTATTTATTGTTTCATGAATGCAGAGTCTGGAGTAATGAGTGAACAGAGCCATGAGGTGACCATACGTTTATTGTTTTCCTGGCATTTAACTTATTTAGAAGTCTGAAGACAGAACAAACATTTCAAGGGCAAATGACCCATATCAGAGAAGTCAAATATTTAAGAACTACCTGGTGCAAGAGAAACATATTTTTAAATGAATGTTTAAAGTTTTGCAGAAAACTATAACCTTTAGAAATTCCTGTCATTTAAGAAAAAATAATAAAAATCTATAAGGTTACTTTAGAAACAACTTTATTTCATTATAATTACTTATTTTCATTTATCTTTGAAGAAACTAAAAGTACAGAAAGTGTCTAATTTGCTGATGTCTGTTGAAAAGCTAGACAGTAACTGCTTAACATTTTGCACGGTGGGGTGCATGGTATCATGGGACGTCAGGGCTGATGATTCTGCTGTTGGCAGACCACTTCATTTATACAAGAGGAAACCACAGTCCGCTGACAGTAGATGATTTCATTTGCTAATTCAATCAGGCAACATTGATCTGCCTGGGGCACTGGCCTAGACCCCGGGAGTACAGACATGCACAAGACTCCATGAGCTGGAGGCACGCACACAGCAGAGAGGGAGTCAGAATTGAGCATCGTGATGACAGAATGTGGCAAGGTCCTACCAGAGATCAACACAAAGTGGACAGAGCCGGCGCAGGGACGGGAGGGCAGGCCAGACTCGGGGCAAGGTCTCCTCTCTCAGAGCAGCTGAGAGTGGGAAGTCAATGGCAATAGATGTGCAGGGCCTCCACATCTTTTAGCTTCGTGTCTCCTAGTTTGCTGTGTTCTCTCCCCCCTTCCCAGCCTGGGCACAGCACCCGCGTGCAGGACTTCAAGCCTCAGGGAAATAAGACAAAATTCAGCAAAGGAGCTCTTCTCCAAAGTATGCTTGCAGGACTCCCATACCAACTACAAGGCCTCTTTAGAATTACAGGGCAAGATGTATACGAGATTTATCATTTATATTTATTATATTATAATTTATAATTAGGAAACAGGTCTGTTTCCTAATAACAGACTTGCAATTATGCTAAGCATTCCATACCGCGTTGGAGAAAGCCATTCATATTCCAAGAACAGATGTGGCAAGGGTGGCCTCCTCCCTCAGATCAGAAACCCAGAAATGCTGTCGCACACAGAAACACGCGTCCCAGAGAGCCCAGAGCAGCAACAGGGCTATACATCCCAGGCCTCTGCTCTGTATTCAGACACGGAAGTGCGGTTCCCACCAGGCGACACAGACTTTCTCCTTACACCAACGAGCCAGGCTCCTCTGAGCCCTCTTCTTGACTAGACCCCAACCTTGGCCTACGAAAACTGCAGACTCCTGGCACAAATGATTTCATCCACCTCCCCGCACTAAGAGACTTGAGCAAACACTAGCACGGTTTCTAACAGCTGAAGGCTGTATCCTGGGGGTGGCTCCAGGCCCCCTTCAAGTGCCTACCTGAGAAAAGTGAACGCTGCCTGGAGAATTTACTATTTGTTCCAGCCAAAACCTGGTGACAGGCAGATAGGCCCCTGAACCCCCTCTTAGAGCAGTTATTTTAGAAAGCTTGCAATTACAAATCCTTCCTCTCCTCCTCTGAGATGTAAATCTTCTACCACACAGAACTGTTGTGTTTCTTTGAAATGCAAACATTCTTACTTTCCCTGCTGTGTGAGGGCTTTGCTCTCACTGACCCCATCACGGATAGAAGTTAGTTTCTCCTCCAGATATGGGCCATTTAACAAACCTAGATCCCATTGACCAACCTCTCCCACTTTTTATACATTTCCACTTCCCTGACCCTGCTCCAGCCCTGCCCCCACACTCAGGCACCCCTACACAAATGGGAGTTGACCCTCTTCCCTATTGCCATAGTTACTGAATTGAGTCTATCCTTACTGCTTTAACTAGTGTCTTGGCTTTGTTTACCTTTGACACAGGGAAACAATCCAAGGAAAAAAAAATCTAGGTTTTCCTAATTAAATACATTTTATTTTTATCGCTGAAAGTATAAGTGATAACATAGAGGGTTATCAGTCAACTTCACTTTCGGGTACTGGGAGAAAAGCCGGATCTTTACCCGCATGTTGGGTGTATAATGGTTGAGCCATTTGCTACATTTTGCAACTCCAGGATCAACTCCCACCAGACTCAGGCTTTCCACTTTCAGCCTGGCACCTAAAAGTGCCGGTTCAAGCACTTGCTGTTTTTCTCTACACCGTTTGCTTTTAGAGTTCCTTCTGCTTTGTCTGCTGGCTCCACGTGACCTGGGCACCACTCATTTTTAAAGCATAGCTCTGAGGCTATTTAAAAAGGAAACCATGGTAAGTGGCTGATCTGCTAGACTCTAGGTTCAGATTACCTAGGGCCCAGTGCCAGCTCTGACACTTGTTGGCTTTAAAATCCTGGGGAAAAATTACTTTAATCTCTTTGTGTCTCTATTTCTTCATTTGTGAAATGGTTATACAGGTGACCCTTGAACACATGGGTTTGAACTGTGCTGGTTCACTTACACTTGGATTTCTTTCAATAAAAGTTACAGTGTACCTGCCTCTCCTATCTCCCCTTTTACCTCTCCCACTGCTTCTGCCTCTGCCTTTGCCACCCCAGACAGCAAGACCAACCCCTCTTCTTCCTCCTTGTTAACTTACTCAATGTGAAGACAACAAGGATAAACACCTTTAGGATGATCCACTTCCACTTCATGAATAGTAAATATATTTTCTCTTCCTTATGATTTCCTTAATAAGACTTTCTTTAGTTTATTGTAAGAATACAGTATCTAATACATATACAAAACACATGTTTATCGACTGTTTGTTTTCAGTAAGGTTCAAAGCCATAGGTAAAGTTTTGACTGTACTACCCCAAACCTTGAGCTGTTCAAGGCTCAACTGTAATTATTGCGAATCCTTTATTAGCTTGTTATGAAACTTTTAGACAAGAGCCTCAAAGTGCTTAGAACAAAGCTATTTGTGTTACTTTGTCTGGCAAAACTTCCCTGGTCAACAGATGCAACCCCCCCACCCCTCCTCTGCACCCCTAGTGTCTCGCACTTCATCACAGAGCCCTGGTTGGATTTACAATTAGACCGTCTGGGTTCAAAACCCCACTCTGTCACCGCAATTCGCGCGTTTTCTAGGGTCAGCCACTAAATCTCCCCTGGCCTCAGTTTCCTCATCCCTAGAAAGGCGAGCAGAGCACGCAGTGAGAACCTACGAGCATTCCGTCCCCGCTACCCTGTGTCTGGGGGCCCAGTTTGCGCTTCCCATGGAGCAAGGACCGAGGGGGCTCCAGCTCTGCACGCGCCTACGAAGCATTTGTTGAATGAAGACATCTGGGAACCTAGCGTTGGGGATCCCCACTGTTATGCCAAAGGAAAATGCATGCATGTTGTCAAGGAAAATGAACGCTAGATTTGGACACTTCCTATGGGGACCTACGTGTCCTCAGCTGCAAACAGCAGAGGGGACACCTAGGAAATGCGGGACAGCGGAAGGAGGCCGCGAAGACCCCGCGAACACCAGCCCTCTAGCTGCCGTCCTCCTCCAGTTCACCCCGGCCCTGGACCAAGGTGCCCGGCCCACATCCCACGGCTTCCCCCAACTGCCGAGCCAACCCGGCTGGAACCCAATGCGCCTGCGCGTACATTGATGCGCCCCCTAGAAGCGGCCCTTGTTAGCTGTGCGGGCGCACACAGCGGTGCGCCCCACGAGGCGGCCCGAGCCCACTGCGTCTGCGTCCCGCGACGGCTACGCCGGCCTACCGCGCCGGCGCGCGGAGCGGTGCATTTCGGGACGTGTAGTTTTCCCCGGCAGCACTGCGGGAGTCCCGGTTAGTGTGCTGGCCCGGCGCCGGAGGCTCCACCGCCCAGAGCTGTGAGTGCGTGACGTCGGGGTCGGCGGGGGCACGATCCTAAGCTCGAGAGCTCTTTGGGGCGCTGGGATCTGGTGGCTGGCCCTGCGACCGCGTTTTCTCTGTGGGACTAGCGCCTGCCGGACTCCCAGCGTTGGTTCCGGCCGGAGGGTGCTGGTCTAAGCGTCTCGGGGACGAGCGAATGTTCTGGACACACTGTTCTGGGGAAGGGTGGGGGGAGCGGCGACAGCCCCTGGCCCCCAGCCTCGGATCTGGGTGCGGCAGGCGTTGCCCCCGAGTGCAGAGGTCGGGGGAAGAGGGCTCCAGACTGGCCCACGGGTTACCGAGGACGCGCCGAGGCCCGCGGGGGTTCAGCAGCGCGCCCAGGGTTGCGCCGCGAGCGCAGGCACCATCGCGGCTCTCCCGGGGCTCGGGTCGCTCCTAGCATATCCCCGGAGTGATGGGACGTGGAGTGCGAGCAGCCGAGGTCGGGTGGGGCTGGTTCTCTCCCCCCAACCCCTGTGCAGAGCCAGGAGGGCCAGGTGGTGCCCAGCGTTCACCTGGCAGCCCCCTCCCCGGACCTACTCCTACCCAAAATGATTGGGTGAAGGATTGGCCTGAAGGGCGTAGACACTGGGCGAGAGAGAAAGTTCAGACAAAGAAAGGGCAGGACCTGATTAGTGGCTGGAAGCAGTTAGCCACCAAGAGATAGACTGACCCTTGAGTTTCCTAGGTGTGTGTGCCAAGCAGGAAACGTAGGTCGTGGGCAATAGATTGTATTGCTTTAATTGGCCTAACCAAAATAAGCGAATATGGTTTTTGTTTCTAGGACAAACTCAGCAAAGGAAAACTCAGGATACTTTTGCAGTTAGGGAGATAGAAATATTTGGAGTGGTAGCTAAGCCAATTGTGGGGTTTTTTTTGTTTGTTTAGTTTTAAGCTAAGACTGTATAGTTCCATGGGAAGTTTAACATTTTCTGCCCTTCATAGATGTTTATGCCTCTCAAAATTGTCCTCGTTTTGTTGGTTTTTGCAGTTCAGCCCTCAGGTACCGGCTGCCTCTTGTTTCTAATATTGCATCAGGTGTACGTATGCCAGCAGAGCAAATAGCTCAGTGATATTTTTAGCTTTCTTAGTTCTCATTTGCAGGAGGGAGCGGGGTGCTGTGATAATGGCTGACTTGGGGCATGTAATTTAAGGGAGGTGGGGAAAAGCAATTCAGAGGCAGTGGGTGGGAATGAGCAAGGCTGATCGGGGGGGTTGCCATTTGGTCCTCCACCCTTACCCACCCCGTCCTCTCCTGTTGCAGATTGACTTTACGTGGGTTTCTTTCCTAAAGAGCTTGAATTCTGTCACTCTAGAAGCTGAAGTTGAGGCAACCACCAGTTGAAGTGTATTTTTTGCCACCAGTTTATTTTCCAGTCAGGTTCTGTAACATCAGAGAGGAGGGTTGAGTTGTGAATTCCAGAGTTGGAGAATTATCCTTTGCATTCCGATTTTTAAAATGAGAACATTTTGATTCATAGGGTTAATGGCTTGTCCCAGGTCACATGTCCCACCATGGTTGCCACCAAGAACAGAACCCTGATCTCCAGTTCTCCGTGCTCTCAGCTTATTCTTTATCCCTTACTGTCACGGAATGACTACATTTTCTGCTGGGTGCAACATGTCTATGTCTTTCAGCTTGGCATGCCCATTACTGCAAGGAGAAAGATTTATCGTAACAATAATGGTTGACATTTATTTAGTGCTTTCTGTGTGCTGAGCACGCTGCTTAATGTTTACAGTCCATTCTGAAGGAGAATTTACAGATAGGGGAGTTGAGGCTTACAGAGGCCAAGTGACTTGTCCATGGTCACATTGCTAGTATCGTAGTGCATGTTTACCACAGGGCCAGACCACTGGATGTCCTTTTTCATTTATTTCCTTCTGCAAGAATTTTGGACTTATTTTTTGTCCTTGACCTTGGGAATCCACATCCTAATCAATTCACAGGGTCTGTAATTTGGCCTCAGAAAATTTGTGGGGAACAGCCAAAGTTACCTACTATATCTATATACAACTCAAAGAAGGAATTTTAAAAATAAAATTTACAAGCCTTAAACATTTTATTTTAATAGACAACATGGCTAATCCCTAAGATTATTAGAAATACTCAAAGTGAAAATTCTAGCAACAGTTATAACATGCCAGGAACATACTTGTTCAGTGCAGGTCAGAATCTGCTGCTACATAAGGACAAGTGGGGCCAGGCGCGGTGCCTCACCTCTGTAATCCTAGCACTCTGGGAGGTGGAGGCGGGAGGATTGCTCTAGGTCAGGAGTTCGAAACCAGCCTGAGCAAGACCGAGACCCCGTCTCTACTATAAATAGAAAGAAATTAATTGGCCAACTAATATATATAGAAAAAAAAATTAGCCGGGCATGGTGGTGCATGCCTGTAGTCCCAGCTACTCGAAAGGCTGAGGCAGGATCACGTGAGCCCAGGAGTTGGAGGTTGCTGTGAGCTAGGCTGACACCACGCCACTCACTCTAGCCTGGGCAATAAAGCAAGACTCTGTCTCAAAAAATAAAAGGACACGTGGGCCATTTATACAGGAAGGTAATTAGCACTGTCAACCCAAATAAATGACAGAGGCAAAAATCTCAATCAGTGGAGGTTTATTAAGCCAAAATTTTGAGGACGTGCCTGGGAAAACCACAAACAGCAGACAAGCTGTGGCTGTTTTTCTGAAGGGGATGTTGGCACCACCAGCATTTTATGGGCATACAGAGAGAAAGAGAAAGGCAGGGGGGTTGGGGTTGGGGGTAATGAGGTAGTGGTTACATTCTTGTGAGGCCCAAGAAATCTACATTTTACATAAAAGAAGGGACTAAAGGAAGCATCAGTTATGAGGATGTCCCCAGGAAGGGGGAAGAATGCCTAATTCCATCTTGTCTCCTGTTACCTATAAGATAAACTTGTAATTCATGATTAGTGTGGAATTGGATAGGCTTTAGCTTTAGGTGATAGACACAGGTACAATTTGCATGTTCTTGCTTATGGGAGGTTACCAAAGGAATTTTCTTACTGAACGGTCTGTGGGGCCAGCTCTTCACAGGTGTCTGAGGCTGTGATTTTCTTTTTATAGCACTTTCAGTTACCATGACTACATCTAAACAGATCTACAGTGTAAATTCATGTTGCTAGATTCTGTGACTTTGAAAAAGTCCTAGGAAAACTTGGCTATCTTGTGCCAACTACTAGCTTGTTTTCAAGATAAAAGATAGTATAACCTTGAAGAGATGAGATATAACTTTTTATATTTACATGCTTTTGTAATGGAATGTTTTTTTTTTTTTCCTTTGGAAACATCTTCCCTGAAGTTCATCTTATCCCCATTCTAAAGGCCTCTAAAATTTTCTGCCACTTTTCTGAATTCTAACTATAAATACGTTTAAAGGAAAATATCACCATGATTTTTGAATGGGAAGCTCTCTGCCTGCATCAGGATAGTACTGAGGTTAAGGCCCTGGAACCAGACTGGATGGGTCTGAATCCCAGTCCCACCTGGAAGACCCTTGGATATGTTACTTAAACGTTCTTTCCTCCTCTATGAAGTGGAGTAATCAGCTACCTCATTGGGCAGTCTGTGAGGACTAAGTGAGTTAATTCACATAGGTACTTTAGCACAGTCTGGCATGATAAAGTGAAGCTATGGTTATTATGCTATAAATCATTGAATTTCAGAAAAAGTCAGGGCCCTAGACACCATCTATTTGACACCTTCTTTCTTCACTTACAGATGAGAGCGAGGCCTCAGAGGGAAGTCACTTACCAGAGTATGTAGGTTCTTCATGCAGAGAACAAGTCTTCTGGCTCTTTGGGGTATGTGTTCTAAAATTAGTGACCTGTGAGGCCCCAGAGCAAATCCTGTGCTCTGGCTGTGTCCCTGCCTTGTCACATCTTGCCTTACATCCATGGTGCTTTAGAGGGAAGTCTACATATGAATTGCTTTCTTAGGATAATTATTTTCTCCTGTCACTTATTCCCTTGCCTCCAGATAATCTTTTAAAAACCAAGGTTAGCTTGATTAACACTCAGAGGACCTGAAAAACAGAAAGAACACCCATCCACAAACCAGTACCTGTTCGGGGCAAGAGGTGGGTGGAGGGACAGCCTTTGGATTTGGGCTCTTAGTTCCACAGATGAATGGGATGGGAGCACATGTCCCCTCAGGAGTGGCACTGCCACCTCTGCTGGGGGCTGAGGAGAGCTTTCTGCTCAACAAGAGCCAGGCCTGTCTTGGCCCTCACCCAGCCTGTCTGTCTCCCACCAAGCTCTAGGTCGCCTTGTCAGGACACAACCCGTCTCTCTGCTCTAGGTTCACGTGCCCTCCTTCCGTCAAAGAGACATCTTCCTAAGGTGGCCTGCCCTGGAAAGTCCAAACTGACCTGTTTCTTTTTCCCCCCACCCCACCCCAGATCAGACCTTCCAGCGCCCTGAACCTGACCTTCTAGCTCCTTCTCCTCATGTGCTTATCTGGGAGAGGCCTGCATTGATCAGTAGTAAATTCACAGCTGTTCTGCCATGAACTGGAAGGTAAGACTAGTTTTAAATAATTATTGCTTGGGTTTTTTTCTTTCATCCTGATTGTAAAAATTCAGAATAAAAGTTTTATAGATGTAGATTGATAGAAAAGAAAAATAATATTTAATGTTTTAAGTTAAAACATACAAATGTACATTTATTCACTGGACTTCTGGAAGAAGGCTAGACCTTTCTTTGAGTGCCTGTCCGATAACTTCAGATCTGCCTTGCTTTTCTTGCAAAAATCATGCCTTTAAAACCTTACCTACAGTTTTAGATTTTAGTTTTTTTTTTTTTTTTTGAGACAGAGTCTCGCTTTGTTGCCCAGACTAGAGAGAGTGCCGTAGCGTCAGCCTAGCTCACAGCAACATCAAACTCCTGGGCTCAAGCGATCCTTCCGTCTCAGCCTCTCCTCTCGAGTAGCCTGCGACTACAGGCATGCGCCACCATGCCCAGCTAATTTTTCTATATATTTTTAGTTGGCCAATTAATTTCTTTCTATTTTTAGTAGAGACGAGGTCTCGCTTAGGCTGGTTTTGAACTCCTGACATTGAGTGATCCTCCTGCCTTGGCTTCCCAGAGTGCTAGGATTACAGGCGTGAGCCACAACGGCCGGCCCATTTTAGTTTCTTTAAAGTAGATGCAGTGGTCTGAATGTATTTCCTCCAAATTTGTATGTCACAACCCTAGCGCCAATGTGCTGGTATTTGGAGGTGGAGCCCTCAAGAATGGGATTAGTGCCCTTCTAAACCAGACTCCAGAGAGCTCTCTTGCCCTCCTTCTGACGTGTGAGGGTCCAACAAGAAGTGTTGGAAGTCTATACCCTGGAAGTGGTCCTCACTAGGATCCAACCTTGCTGTACCCTAATCTTGGACTTTCAACCTTCAGAACTGTGACAAATAAATGTCTCTTGTTTGTGGTCACTAGGATTGTGATACTTTGTTATAGGAGTCTAAAATGACTAAGACAGTGGGTTAAGATCTTATGAAGCAATCAGCGTACAAAATCTTTCCAGATTTCGATGCTTTTCCCTAATGTTTTATAGTTGTCCTACCAATAGCCTTTTTTTTTTCCAACTCAGCCTCGAATCTTTCAAAGCATTCAATTCAGTTTTCACGGAAACCACTTTTTCTTTACGTGGTCATATTTCCTGTGTTGTGTTTAAATAAATTATTTAACATAGCATTGAGTACAACCTAAACTGGTTGGTGAGTAAACACAACATTCAGCTGGTGGGAGCAGAGGTTCACCAGAAACCAGAGTCGCCTGCTAGCGAGAGGCATTCAGGCGCTGTGGCACCTGTCAGCAGGTTTTACAGAGAGAAAGGAAATGCCACTTTTACCCTGAAGTCAGCAAGGTGAGGCGGAATTTGGTTAAGAAAGCAGCCACTGAGATATGTGATTATTTTAGCCACTTCGAAAAGTATAAAATCAAATAAAAATTGTACGTAGTTTCACCATCCAGAGATGGCTACTATTAAATGTTAATAGTTTTGGTGTATTTACTTCCAGTATTTTATTCCTTATATATAAGTGTGGTGTATATATTTTCAAATATAAATCTTATCGTATGTGATCTTTTCAATTATTATAAACGTTTCCTTCTTGAAAACCTCCAGTAGCTTTCTCCTGCAAGGAGAAACGGGAAGGGTCTGGAAGCAGGCTCAGGGAGCTGGTAGAGTGGCTGTCCCCCTTCCCCAGCCCTGTGGCCATAGGGCTTGGGGGGCCCTGCAGGAGGGCAGAGAGACTCTTCTCCAGGAAGGCCTGGTTGAAGTTAAGGAAGCAGAGTGAGTCTCTGTGAAGGCGTGGACAACTAGGGGGGGTTTGTTGAACATGCTTTTGGGGGCCTGAGCACAGTGGTGGGGGTGAGAAGGGGGTTGAAGGGGAAAGGAGCGGAAAGTGGGGATGAGATTGAGAGCAGCCATATAGCACCCACTGCAGTGGCTAAATTGGTAAGGGTGAGAGGCAGTAACTGCTACTAAAGGCGGTGTCAGCAAGCTTCAAAGCATTCTGTGTGGTGCTCCAAGGCGGCAGGTGGTCCTCCCACTGCACACGCATGGCAGTCCCTTTGAGGACAAGTTAAGAGTTTCTGATTGGGTAGGTCGGGGGCAGGGCCCGAGCATCTGCATTCCTCACAAGTTCCCAGGTGGTGCTCATATACAGTGGTCCAAGGCAACACATAGGGAAGTTATCTTTTCAACTGTGGAGTGACATCAACCCACTTGACCCCCCAGCCCGGTCCTGCCTGTGACAGTCCTTTCCTGTGTCAAGAACCAAACTGACCCAAACCTTCCCAGCTACAGACATGCATAACACCGTGGAGCAGCCTTGTGTTTAAACCCAGACCCTTCTGGGTAGTGTCAGAAAGGAACGGCCCTGCTTACGCCTACCGCAGAGAGCTGTGGGAAGCTGAGGGCATCCTGTGGCCTTGCCCTCCGGCTGGCGGTGACAGTCAGAACTACTGTGCATTAGCAACGAGTGTGGCCTCATTATTTAAAAAGTTAATTATTCCCATTTCACAGATATTGGGGTTTTGTTTTCAAAAAGTAGCATGGATCTAGTCCACCCCAACAACATTCATTTTCCTCCTTGGAGGTCTGCATATTTTGAGAGATGTAAGGGGTTGTTAGAAGGAAATCAGGGGGGAATTTAACACAACTGAAGCTTAGTGCCCTCGAGAGGGGAGGGAAGGGGCTCCCCACAAGTCCTCGCTTTAGCCCTTTTAGCGTCCTTGGCCTCTGCCGCCCTTGTTCTGCCTCCTCCTCAGCGTCAGACTTCTGCCTCCTGCCACTGCCTCCCCACTGCCTTTGAAAAGAAAGTAAGTACCGCGCCACTAACCTGCGCCCACTGGCCGGTGAGTTTCCATGGCAGTGGGTTTGTCGATTTCCTGTTGAGGTCGTACCTTCCTGCGACGATCATATGGCTCTGCCATAACAGACTGATTCTAGAGAGATTTAGAAAATCAGAAAAGTTACTTTCCTAGTATGAGTCAGCGCTTCAGTTAGCCTAGAAAATCCTAATAAACACGAAAAGAGGTTTATGTAACGATGTTGACAGCTGGTTTGTATGAGTGGAGTCTTACCTTCACCTCTCTAACACGTGAGCCTTTAAGAAAGCAGAGGAATTGGAGGGTTGGTGGGCGGGGAGAGTGGTTAGCAGTGGCTCTAAGGGAGGAAGAGTCTAGAAACCAGATCAATATTCTAAGATGCTCGTATTTACCAGGGTAAAACATTTGAAAGTTTTACTTTCGTAACTGTAAATCTTTCATACTTTCGCCAGAGTGATCTTTCTGAAAGTGAGTATTTTGTGTTTATTCCTTACTGTTAAAATGATTTCATCATTGAAAACTATTATCTGGTTATGGAGTGTTCTTGTGTTCTTCTTGTTTTAGTTAGAATGACTTAAATATTTGTATCCTTCTCCCCCCATGATGTCCATTATATTCTCATTGTATCACATTACAGCCTTCTGCAGATATCCATACATACCAAGTTAAATGCTTTCAAAGGTAGTGAGTCTAGCTGCCTCTGGCAAATTCAGTAGCCAAGCCATTGTTTCTTTGCATAATTTAATTGTAAAATTGGCAGGGGTGTGGAGCACACCACATACATGTTACAGGACACTGTGATGGTGAAGGTCAGAGCCAGGTCATATTCTCCATCACTTACCATGTTCTCAGCTCCACGATCAGGGTGGTCCATCTGCCTCGTGGAGAAAGCGTGAAGAACCACGTAAGGCACTTAGCACCCGGGAAGTTCCCAGTGTACAGCAGCCGATGCTCTGTCTTCTAAATGTGAAATCCACATCCAGGTCTGAGTCTTAAAGAATTTGGATAGAATTATAGGAACATAGATGTACATAAATTGTGATTTCATTAATTCCACTGCATCGGGAATCAGGACTCAGGGGAAGGGCGCCTGGCCCGGGTTAGACTGTCCATTTCCGCTCCAGCCTCCTCGTGAGCGAGCTGCGGGACACGGGCAGACCTCTCAGCCCACAGCAGCTCTGCTCGCCCCGCTCAGAAGACAAGGTGCGGACTAGACCAGGTTCTGGAAAGTTCTTTCCAGCCCTCTAGTTCTGTGATCATATTGTTCTCACTAGTTTCAGGTCACTTTTTCTTAAACTGTTAGAAGGAGGTTCAAATGTACTCCCTGTAGTAGAATCTCATTTTATTGGTATTACATATAATAAATGATATTTGGCAATTTAATGTAATGATTTCATTGGAATAAATTCTACTTGTAAAATAATGATTACTCAGCAGAAGCATAGCTTATCACTTTATTTGGGAAGGAATTTTTAGTAACACAAAAAGTTCATGATCATCATTTAGTCATACTAACCATGTGTATGAAACTAGGATAGTATTTACCTTGACATACCATTGTGATATATAGAATTTCATTATAAGACCTGCAAAGAGTGGGTAATTCAAATCGATAGTTATTCTCCAGACTTTGTTTTAGCCAGTGGGTTTATGGCAGTAATCAGTAGCTAAGTTTTGATGTTTTGAATTTTGTTGCATTTTATTTTATCTTCAAGTGCCAGTGCTAATGAGTTGCTAGAAACAAGGAAATCATAGGGTGCTAGAGCTGGAGATTCCAGAAGGAAGGTCTGGTCCAGCCCTACTTTGTGGGCAAAGAGGCAGGAGCTCAGAAAGGCCAGTGGCTGACCAGGTCACACAGTCAGTTGGCGGCAGAGCAGAGCTGTGACCCAGGTGCCCTGGTTCAGGCTCCTCTCACTGGACCCGGCTGCTGCCACAGAAGCAGGGATCAGGGAGGCCAGCAAATTGCACAGTTGAGTTGCATAAGACCAGAGTCACTACGCCTGTAGCTGACTGGTGATCCTCCGTGAAGCCAGTAGCAAGTGAGTGATGAAGAGCAGGGTGTAAATAGACTGGTGGCCACCTGGGGACAGGGACCTTGTCTGCTTGGTCTCCAGTGTAGCCCCAGCACCTAGCCTTGTACCTCTTGTAGGATAGGTGCTCAGTAAATACTTGTTGCGAGAAGATAAAGAAACATCCCATATCAATGATGAAATGTTTAGAATGGTTTTTTTCCTCTCGAAGGCTCTCGAACACGTGCCCTTGCTGCTGTATATCTTGGCGGCGAAGACATTAATTCTCTGCCTGGCATTTGCTGGAGTGAAAATATACCAAATGAAAAGGATGGAAGCAAAACAGCAAGAACTGGAGGCTGAGAAGAAGCAGCAGTCAGAGAAGAAAGATAACTGAAGGGGCATCCAAGGTACCCGACCTTGGGAATGGGAACCAGCCAGGGGTCAGGGCGGCCAGTCAACAAGTGTGAAAGTCCCTTGCCAATCTGTGCTTAACCCAGATCTCATTTGCCACCTCTCCCACTCCTCCCTGCACTCCTAGGGGCCACACCTTGGCCACCATAGACCTTCATGCCCCTCAGCCTTGCTGGTTAGTCCCAGGCTAGAGGGCCCTTCCTGACGACCTCCTCACCAGTCGCGAGGGCTTAATTCATCACTGTAGCCTCGTGCCTGTCACAGGGCAGACAGGAGGCCAAGATCATGCTTATGGGGTTGAACACATCAAGGCCCCTGTTACAGGTTTTTTTTTTTGAGACAGAGTCTTACTCTGTTGCCCGGGCTAGAGTGCTGGGGCGTCAGCCTAGCTCACAGCAACCTCAAACTCCTGGGCTCAAGCAATCCTCCTGCCTCAGCCTCCTGAGTAGCTGGGGCTACAGGCATGTGCCACCATGCCCGGCTAATTTATTATATATATACTTTTAGTTGTCCGGCTAATTTTTTTCTATTTTTTCAGTAGAGACAGGGTCTCACTCTTGCTCAGGCTGGTCTTGAACTCCTGAGCTCAAATGATCCGCCTGCCTCGGCCTCCCAGAGTGCTAGGATTACAGGCGTGAGCCACCACACCCAGCCCCCGTTACAGATCTAACACGTGACAGCAGTCTCCTTCATGCTGGCGTGTCGATGCAATCTCGTCATCTATCAGGTTGAGTTTCTGGGCTTCTCTGAAAAAGGATTCAAATATGGCAGTAGGGGGTTCTAGATCAGTGGTCCCCAAACCTGGCTAAGGATCAGAATTGCTGGGATGCTTATTAAAATGCAGATTCTCAGGCTCCAGCCTCAGGGAGATTCCATTCTGTCTACGGTTGTGTCCGGGCATCTGTTCTTTTGAAAGCCCATTAGATGACTCTGACACAGTCCTCTCAGCAACAGGTCACCATAGGAACCACTGGGCTAGGTGACCTCCACCACCCCTGCCCGCTCCAATTCCCTGCGTGTAAAAATAGGAATCCCCGTGCAGTACTGGCAGACTGTGAGGTGAAAGGCATACTTAGGAGAAACAGAAGCAACACTTACTGGGTGATCATTCTGTGCCGGGTGTTTGCTAGGCATTTCTTACACAGCTGGGTTACTCAGTCCTGACAGCTCTGTGGGGTGTATCCAGACTGAAAGAATGGCTCACACCATACCTGGTGAAGAGCAGAACCAGAAATCGAACCCAGATCAAACTCATCCAACCACCGTGCCCAGCCTGAGCCGGCCGCCTTCCTGAATACAGACACGTGGGCTGGTGGAAGCACTTCTCTTGATCACTCGCCCTTTCTAGCAGCCGCAGCCGCTGGCTGGTCCTCAATGGGCTGTGGACTTTTGCCAGACAGAAGTTACTGTTATGGAACCTTGCCTTTTATTGATTCTTTTTTAAAGTGAAACTCAGGAGCAGGCACTAGAAAGGGGGAAGAGAAAATTTACAGGGTGAGGGAAGGCAGTTTACATTGCAATGTTGCTGATTGAATTTATATTCCTGACAGTCCTCATTTTGCATGTTAAACTGAGAAGAGGAAAATTAGATGTGAGATCATAAATGCTTCTTTCTTCTCTCTGCAGACGTCACCGGAGACCTGTTGGTTAAGTAGGGCTGGGTGGCTTCCCCTCTGAGCTTAGAACTGCCTGGGGAGTTGGTCTTTCTCTATCGGCTGGCAGCTTCTCAAATACCGGTGCCTTGCTTTAAACTAAACAGGTTTTCAAGATGAAAGGGAAATTGTGGTGCTAAAAATACATTCATTAATAGATAAACTTGAGTAGTTTCTGTTTCTCAAGTCTGAACGGCTGAACTTAAGTGTTAATGCTGAACGAGTAAAACATTCACTGTAATTTTATCAAACGTTTCCCTCCTACTTACCCTTTGGTTTTCTTTTCTAGATTTTGCAATGTAAATGTCAGCTCCAGTAGACCCTAGCCGAGAAGCAAGAACCACTGGGTGATGTGTCAGAGGATAAACTCCCAACCTGGGCCTTTAACTTAAAGCAATGTGAATTTTTATATGCTTTCGAAAGAACCAGTATTTTGTGTACTAAAATAAAATACCTTTGTTAAAAGGATATTTCTGGTCTTTGGAATAAGTAAAGGAGAGTGTGTATCTCTGTCATACTCTCACATACACACACACTCACACACACACACACACACACTTGTGAGAGGAGGGAGTTTTGCAAACTCACACCCCAGCCAGCATTTCCAGCTGGGGACTCCAGCGGGGACAGGGGGAGCAGCATCTGCTGTGGGGCTGGGCACCGGGCCTCTCACCCTCTCCCTGGTGGGCTGCCTTCCCCTGGGCCCTTTTCTCCTCTGTCCCTCCTGCAGGTGCTGTCCCCTGTGTGTGTGTTCCTTGCGAGGCTGTGCACTCGTCCAGGAGAGCTGTCCCCTGTCTGACCTGGGAGGTCCTCATGGGGAGGAAGTGCAGGTTGGGAGGTGTCTGCCCTGTCAGGCTCCGAGTCCAGGAAGAATTCTCTTCTCCAGTCCTGGCGTGAAAGAGCAAGAGGAGCTCCTGGGTGCATTTTGTCCTCTCCTTACCAGTTTGCTTGTAGGGATTTGCAGATAAAGGCAAAGGGCAGGACGTTCATGGAAGACTTTCAGACTTGGGGGCAGGCCAATGGGATAAGAATGTTTACTGCTCAGCACCCAACACACAGAGATCTCTACGAAAAGGGTTTGTTACTGAAAGCTCGTCACTTGTCCCTGAGGCCACATCAGAGGAATGAGAATAAGTGGTTTGAGGAGAAGAAAAAAGAAGTTTATTACTAAGGATGAAACTGGCAGACTATTGCCTCAAAATCCAAATTCCTGCACATAAGCAGAAATACAGAGCTTTTAAAGGGAGGGTCCTCAGTTCTGGGCTATTAGTGTTAGTGATTCTAATTGTCCCATCTCTGCTGGAGGCAAAGCCTGTGACTCCCACCCACCTGGGAGGCCCACCCAGACCTCTGCCACAGTTCAGCTGAGCTTCCTCCTATAACACAAAGAACAAAAGAGAGTCCCCTGCCCCTCCTGACCACCTGCCGCAGACTGGGATTGCAGACCTTAGTTTCCCAAAAGGATCAGGGAAGTTTTAAAGAGACAGAAAATATCTTTTGCTGTTTGTTACCCCAGGCCATTCCCTGTGGTACAGGTTCAAATTCTCTCACTTCTCTCCAGATACCAGGGTGGACGGGGCATGAAGACACAGTAACCGGGGCCGTGAATACGGTGGCATGTTTGTGTCACTGCTGATGGCCACGTGGAAAACGTGCAGGAGCATCTATTAATAGATGTCAACCCCACCCACTGTTGCCAGTTTGGTGGAGCTTTGCATTTTCAGCATGAGGAGTCGGGGGAGATACAGTCACAATGTAGGAAGCAGAAAAGAATTTACGTAGGCTCTACGTTCTAAGTACAGAACCGACCGTGGTGCTGCAGGCTGCAGACCTCACAGTCAGAAGAGGATTTTCACGTAAGCCGGTACCTCCGCCCCCTATAGGAGGCTGCTCCAGCCTTTGCCTGGGAGCCCTGGGGACGCCACTCTGCCTAACCCCGCTGTGGCCTGGAGTCCTCTTGGAGCATGGGTGTGTGACCTGAGCAGAGGCATAATGCCCTTGGGTTTCTGCGACCTGCTCAGATGGGGCCCAGCACTGACCCAGGCCACAGCCTACCCTCTTGCCTTTAACAGGTCCCCTCTGCAGCCTGGCAGTGTGCCCTGCCCATCTTGGTCCCTGCTCCTGCTCCGGGGGCCTGGCCTCTGCTGACATCTCACTCCGCAGGACTGGGGCATCCCCTGCTCCCACCATGCCTGGCAGCCGACCCGCTCACTCTGGGCGCCACTTCTTCCCTCATGCACACCCAGCCATGAGCCCCAGAAATCCAAGGCGGAGGGTTTGTTGGCTTTTCATGGAGAATCAAGTATGTCTGACCGGTAGATACTCAAGTGTATTTTAAACACAGGCGATTTCCTAGGATTTAAAGCTAAGCTTTGGAATTTGTGCAACCTGTGGCCACCTTCTTGGAAAACATAGTGGAAGATGGCAAGGATTGGACTAAATCACCGAGCATGCCTATGGGTTTTCTGTGAAGAGCATTTTGGGGTTTGGGGTTTTATTTTCAGTTACCTTTCCTATACACTCTTGCACCACTAGGGGGAGATGGTTAATCACTGATTGGAGTTACTGGCATTGTTCCCTTCCATAGGTATGTGAAATAAGTAGATTCGTTGTTTGATTTTAAATAATTGGTTGGCTGCACCTGTGCATGGCTGGCTGTAGGTAGGAGGATAGAGTGCTAAGGCCCACTGCCACAGCCCCACCTGGACACGCTGTCCAGCAGCCCTCTGGGCCATGACAGAGAACAAATATGTACCAAAGAGGTGACCGTCCCCAGGTAGCAGGAAGACATTGCAAAGGGCAGAGACTGAAATCCACATTCTCTGCCCACAGGAGAGCCCCAGGACGGCTTTTCAGAAGTGGGCCTGAGAGTTCACTGCATGATCTACATGTGCCAGCAGTCCCCACACGGGAACCCACACATGATGACGTTATGTTCATCATGGTGACCTCAGTCATGCAGAAAAGATTAAACGGTTTCATATACTCTGCTTAACAAGGACATACGCAACAGAGATGTACATGATGTATTCCAGAAACCAAATAGTTCAGACAGAAAATCTGGGATTCTTTTGGTTGGGTTACCCCTCCCCAAGCTTTCTTTCAAGTCTTATCTAGCAAGCAGAGCTGTCTGAGCGACTCGTTCCTGAAGATGCCCAGATGCCTGATCCTCACAGTACTGCATGTCCCCCAGGCTTGGTGACACGAGTGTCCTCATGCTTTAATCTGTGCCCCACTCTGCCCTGGTCCCTTAGGGGAGAGACGGCTGGTACCAGCGTGACCTCAAGGAGCCTCCGCTGCCAGAAAGAGGAGCGTGACCAAGGTGTGAGGCAGCCCCTGAGTGTAGGTGTCCCTTGTGTCAGGGTGAAGCCAGGGATCGTCACCCGGAGACCGACTTCCTCCCTTTCTCCTTTTTCACTGCCTGGAATGCTAATGCAATGGCTTGTTCGGCCGCCATTTTGCACTGTGAAGTGACTTTGAGCCCTGAACCAAGTCTAGGACAATGGAGTAAAAAGATAGAATCCTGGGCTCTTGGTGACCACTGTTCCATCATCGCCCCTGAACTGACACCTTGACACTTCTTGTTTTTGGTGGTGCTGGGGTTCCTTCTATTTTGTTGACATCTCTGTGGACTATTCATAGTCCAACTTAATTCTCGATGACACATGGGGCCATGCAGAGATGGGTGTGAGGGCTTCCTGACAGGGAGACTGGGCTACTGGTTGTGACCCTCCTGTCACTCCTGTTGTGTACATGCCCAGGTGAGTCAGCTACGGCCCCGGCCTTGTCTTCGTTTGTAAAATGAGCTCCATGATCACTGCCCTGCCCGCTGTATGAGGTGGTTGTCTGAACTGAATGAAGTCAAGCGTGTAGGAAGAGTTTGCATGTGGCAGAATGATCGCCAATGGAAGGAGTGTTTTGCCCCTCGGTGGGCAACTCAGCCCTGATTGGCCAGGTGGGCTCCATCTGATGCAGATGGACTGAACTATGGGTAACATGCTCTCTCTGCTTATTTCCCTCCTGCCTTGACCTGGGTCCAGCACCATTTCCTGACACTCCCCTCCTTGGGAGTCACCTGGTCCATGGGTGGGGATGGGAAGGTGGTTGGTAGTGACGGTGAAGGCCAGAAAGAACTGGAAGTTTGATCAACCAACCACTCAGAAGGAGAACAGCGGCACCAACCTCATGGGTTGTGGCCCTACAGGTGTGCGGCCCAGCCCCGTGTTGTTGTGTATTGGCACCCACTGTTGCTAAGTACAGTGCACTGAATGTGGCTGTTCCCAAAGAGATTCCGGGCTATCCGCACCAGCCTCCCTGAACCAGCCCCACTGGAAGAAACTTCTCATTATTAATATTATTAATTCCCTAACCTATTGCAGATGGTCTTAAAAGAAATGCCAGAGAACAAAGTTTCCTTTGATCAAAGTATCTTAAGATGTGTCTGTTCTTATTACATCCTGGTGATAAAAAGAAGTAAAAATGTTCCTCAAAGAGTAAAAAGGAAATGAGGTCAGTGACATTAGGTCTAATTGTGGGCACATTGCTTGAACCTCAGCATGGACTGTAATGATAACAGCTTCAACTTCTTGAGCACTCAGTAGGTGCCAGACACAATGTCGTGGCTTGGCATGAGTTACACCATTTTACAGGTGTTAACCTATTTTACTAATGAGTTAATTGAGCCTCAGGGAAGTAAAGGAACTTACCCTAAGTCTCATAGCTTAATAAGCTGGAAACTTGAGATTGCAACTAGGTCCATCTGATTCCCAAAGCCCAGCGTACTTTCTGTTGCTTTCTGCTGGAAGTTTCCAGACTTAGTATATAAAGTGGCATTTCTCAATTATGAATACAATCTTATGTAACTCAATTGCACATTAAAGGCAGTGCTTTTGATCTCTCTGGTTATACTGATGTTCTCTTTCCTCTGCTGGCTTTTCTAATGACTGAACACGGCCTCAAAGGAATAAAACCCTAAGCCTGTTTTGGTTTTCAAACAAAAATAGCTCCTGTTGGTTCATCTTGTTCATCTGATAACCCAAAAACATTCCATTTTTTTTTTTCTCACTGCAAAATAATGTGTCTTTAAAAGATATTCTGCCTCTTCCTCAGCTTGGTGTGGAAGTACTTTTGTGTTGTGGTGTCCAGCTGTAGATAGATAGCTGTTTTGCCAGCTGACGTCTAGCGTGATGTCAGGGGCCAACCTTATGCCATGTAAATTACGAGAGTGAGAGAGGAAAAGCCAGGCTCCGGTAACTAAGCTAGGCATGGCAGTGAGGGGCACCAGCTTTGGAATCCGGTGGCCTTAGTGACATTCCAACATCTCAGTTTCCTCATCTGTACAATTGCAAAAATAAGAGCGCCTACCTGATAGGGTTGTCGTGAAGATCAAATGAGTTTCCCGTTAGTGGAGAGGCAGTGTGAATAAGGGCTCCAAGCGTGAACTCTGCATTGAATCTCCCTGTGCCTCAGTTTCCCACATCTGCAAAATGCAGATTATAATAGTTCCTGCATGATAGACCGTTGTGAGGATTAAATGTATGCAGCACATGCAGCTGTTAGCGTTTACTGCTCGGCAACTCTGGGGAGGTGTGGAATCAATGTGATGTGGGACAAAACACAGTCATGTCCCCAAACTCAGGCCACCTACACTTGGGCCCGCACAGTGACAGCACATTGAAGGGATCAAGGAAGTTTGCGTACTATTCCTTGCTCTCAAGGAAATTAAATCCTAAAATATACGTGAAATAGAGAAAAAGACCACACAAATACACACACAGTAAAAGTTGTTTCCCCAGGTTAATTGCCAATGAGAAATGCAGTATTTCAATGGGCAGAACGAGACTTTGCTTGGCATCTGTGGTTGGCTGCATAATGGTCCCCAAAGGTGTCTTACTCCCTGGAACCTGTGAATGCTACTTCATATGGGAAAAAAAAAATCTGCATATGCGATCAAGTTAAGGATTTGGAGATGTGAAGATGATGCTGAGTATCTAGGTGGGGCATGAATACAACTGCAGGTAAGAGGGAGGCAGAGGGAGATTTGGCACAGAAGAGGAGGAAGTGGTACAGCCACAAGCCAGGATACTGACAGTCACCAGTAGCTGGAAGAGGCCGAGGAACAGATTCCCCCCTGGAACCCCCAAAGGAGCACCACCCTGCCAACACCTTGACCTTGGCCTGGTGGAATTGATTTCTGACCTCCGAGGGAGAACTCCAGAACTGGGGGAGAATAAATTCCTGTGTTTTAAGCTGGTGGTAATTTGTAACAGCAGCTATAGGAAACGAATATAGCACCATTGGCTGTCCAGCGAGATCTGCAACAACTGGGACCTGGCAGTTCTGAGTGCTTGGCTGTTTGGGTGCATACTCTGGTTCCTTTTTTTTTTAACAATGACAAAATGCTGCAGAAGTCCACCACCCAGTCACAGAAAAGCATCGAACATCTATTTTCTTTTATTTATTTCTTTAGAGACAGAGTCTTGCTCTGTTGCCCAGGCTAGAGTACCGTGGCGTCAGCCTAGCTCACAGCAACCTCAAACTCCTGGGCTCAAGCGATCCTCCTGCCTCAGCCTCCCAGAGTGCTAGGATTATAGGCGTGAGCCACCGTGCCTGGCCTGAACATCTATTTTCATCTGACAAAGTCTTTCTGAATAACATAGGAAGGTTCCAGAGAGAAGGAAGACAAGCAAAGCAAATGACGCTGTCTGCACCTGGTTATCAGGAACCTGGCCTCACAATCGTGTATAGTCATCTGTTAGGAGTTAGCTAGAAATTTCCCCCAAGTTATGTTCAAATACAGTTTAAGAGCCATTTTTTTAGGTTCACAGCAAAGTTGAGGGAAAAGTACGGAGTTCCCACGTACCCCGCCCCCACACATGCCTTCTCTTTTCCTGGCAACATCCCGTGGAAATTATTTTTTACACACTTCAGAATGATTACTTCTATTGTAAAATTACTGCCTGGACAGGTATACACAGGAGTGAATTTTATGACATGTTTAATAGTGGTCTGGCAGTTTTCCATAAAAATACAACCACAAATCCTGACAACTTACAGCAACAGCCTCAAACTTGAACAGGGAATGGTTGTACCAGCTGCAGGTGGCTTGGCTACAAGGGCCGTGAGCTGAAACTCCATGGCAAAGTCTAACGCCCTTTTGTTGGGATTCTTGGAGTTGGCCGGGAGGTTGGTTGGATAAGGGGTTCCACAGACCCTCATCACTGCACCTGTTCACCCACCAAGTCCCACTGCAACCAACCACTGTCATATTTCCAGGTCCCTTGCTGGGACCACCAACTCACCTTGCTGTCAAGGAAGGAAGGAAAAGAGTCTTGCTCAGCCACTCTCTGGGCAATGTCCCTGGCTGATGGCAAGCTGGCTCCCTGTGGATTATTTTGTTGGTTGAAACTGGTTGGCATACTACTTAATTTTCACTTTTTTTTTTTTTTTTATTACTTGTAGAGACGGGATCTAGCTATGTTTTTTAGGCTGGTCTCAAACTCCTGGACTCAAGCAATCCTCCTGCCTCAGACTCCCAAAGTGCTGGGATTACAGGCATGAACCACTGTGCCCAGCCAGTTTTCACTTTCTATTGCAGCTGCATGCTAGTTCTGCTTTTCTCTCGGACCTAAATTTTGGCTACATGACCTTTAACCCTGCTCACCCCTGCTCACCACCATCCTCCTTTGGGCTGGGTTAGCTCTAAACCTCTCAGTAACAAAGCCCTCAAAGTGGCCTTAACACGATGAGAGTCGAGATCCCTCATTTATCAACAAGATTTAATGAAACCTCCAGTAAACTCAAAGCATTTGGCCAACATCCTTAAGAAGCCCCCAGTCCTTGCAGCACCCCCTGTGAGTCGCTGTTGAAGTGTCTTTGGCTGCAATGCTCTGGCCCCAACAAAATTGGTGGTAAAGACCATACCCATAAACAGAGTCTCACTACTTGTGGGAGGAATTGCCCTTAAGAAAATTTGCCAAGATAGTAGTTTTCCCATCTCTGTACTTTGTGGGTTAATGTTTTCCACTTGCTTGGGTTTATCCTTGCAATCCCTTTGCTAATTAAATCGCTGAAAAGTATATACTGGTACGAATAGATACTGTCAATGGATTGCAAACAAAACTCTTTTCTGTTATTGATGATAAACCATTTCAGGGAAGACCAGGCTGAGTCTAAAGGGCTCAGGTAATTACAGGGGGATGGCAGAGAGAGTAGTTCATGGCCACAGGACTTGGCCACCTCTGGGCAACACACAATGCTTGTTAAGTTAATGACCTTTGTCACATAGGGCTGGACCTCAGCCTCTCTGTCTTCCTTTGGCTTCAGCTCCTCCTGCAGGCTTCTGTCTTTGACCACGATGGCACACTTGCCGTAGGCCTTTTTCACCACATCGCAGAACTCAGAGAAGAGGCTGTCTTCTTGTTTGTTACACAGCTCGTCTCTTAGGAACATCCGGTATTTCCAAGGCACCCACCCTTGACTGCCACCGGCGTGCACGATACACCAGTTTGGAGTTTGAATGAAATGTCCATTATTAAAGTCTTCCCCCGTCACAAGACTTTCTGGAATGTTGGTTTCTCCAAAATATACAGTCTTAAATCCATCAGATTGCAGCATTCTTAGGGTTTTCAGATATTGGAGGCATTGCTTCCTCTTGATGCTATCAAATTGACTTCTGATAATGATGTTTCTCAAAAGAGGGTTTGCAAAGTGAGGCATGGTGGCTTCTCAAGTGGTTTTAAAAGCTCTTATGTCTTCATCTGGGGAGGTCTGGCCAGTGGTGGAATGATGACCTCATAAAGGGCTTTCTTACAGCTGTGTCAGTCCCATAGCTACATTTTGGACTTTAAAGCATCATGGAATATATTCAGAACGACTTCCTGCTTGCTCACATGACATGGGATGGCAGATGCTACCCATGGAAAATGCTTCTTTAATATCACTTCTGCAATATGTCTGGGATAGAGGTTGGCAATCTTTTAATAGTAATGAGCCAAGTGTATGGCCCCTATGCATGTGGTTCATTAGAGGGAGAGAAATATTTACATTCATTTATCCATTCCAAAAATAGTTACCCAGCACCTTCTACGCTCCAGGCATTATGCCAGGCACTGGGGTTATAGTGAGGACTTGTCCAGGGGGGCTGGACTTGGGTGGTGTGTGTCTGCGTGTGCACAGAGTTTGTGTAAAACCACAATCAAGAGTGGTTTTCTCCAGATGGCAGAGGAGGGTATGGCGAAAAGCAAAAGGAAGTCAGCCTGCACACCTGTCTTCCGCTGGGGTTGCCAGTTTTTGAGCGAATTCAATGCCCTATCTAGAAAGCACGTTTCACTTCCTATACACAGGCAAAGTGACAGTTTGCTTCACTCTCTAGCAGTCTCTTCAATTTCCTTTGTATTTTCGTGTCCCCTTAATCAGAGCTAAAAAGGCATTTCATAATGTGCACAAAAGATTCCCTCGAATGAAGACACGGACAAGATGATTTATCAGGTCCTCTGCCCTGTTGTCGAATGGAAGAGGATTTTTCCCCATGTAAGAGTTTTCTTGGGACTCAAGTTTGGACGACCCCAGACAGTAAGACCACCCTATCATAGTTAAGTTACCATGAAGAATGTGGTCCCCAAACAGCCTCTTCTAGAGGCCAGGATCAGCAGGTTTGGGTTGATAATTGGCTTGCAGTCATTTTTCTCTTAGGATTTTTCTTTTAGTAGTGGAGACCACTTTTAGACCAAATTTGATATGGATGCCAAATATGTAGAACAGAATTGTGACTGCTCTCTGGTTGAGGTGGTAATGGTGGTCTCATTGTCCCCCTGCTTAGCCACCTCCTTTTCTCTCCCCACTCCAAGGGACTCTGTGGCCTGGGACAACAATGTGAAACACTGTGTAGTGCAATGGATCAATTCTAGGGCAACAATTCTTTGCCTCTCTCATTCAATTTTCACTTTTGGATATGAGAAACCTGTGTAGGTATATAGAAAAGTATAAATATTATGTTATCTTGTGCGTGTGTGTAAATATACATATATATGCCGTGTGCTTATATGTTCAAGCAGAAACCACAGAAGACTCAGGCAAACGCTTATTAAAATGCTTACCTTATAAGGAGAAGGAGAGAACAGGAGAGAGGAAAAAGTAAGAATTCTAGGCTTCTCTGAATGTACCTTGTTTTATAATTTTACAATGGAAATTGTCAACATTTCATATATTTTTTAAAAAAGGCAAATCAAAAAGAAAAAGAAAACAAGTGACTGCCAAATGATACAAAATAAAACAGAAACCAATAAATCTAGCTACTTACCATGTCAGTAACAGAATCACAGACATGAATTTATTTCAAATGACCCTACAACATAATATTTGGATTATCTATTCCCTTGTGGGATATATGCTGAGGACAAAGAGAAACACATGCAACCTGAAGCTATATTCAGTGCTTTCATTGTTATTACTAGTACTGGTATTATTATTTTGAAACTCATGTCTGTTTTATGATAAATAAAATTACTTATGATAAGTAATTATGTTAATGTTAGATTTTTCAGTCTAAAATCATATGAATGTAAAGGAATTGACTATATCAGTATTAATTAATGACTTATTTTTCTCTTTTGAAAATGTTTATTTCCTACTTCTGTCTGCTGGAAAGACTGAGAAGCAAAAACAACCCAGTAGCAATGTGTGCGCTAACCCCAGACTGTGGCCCCTAAATATTATTTCCTGCTCAAGGAATCACGAATTCTTTGATTCCGAGTCTGAGGAAGGCAATGCACAGATGAGCTTGAGGCATCTCCTGCAGCCTGAAAGCAAGGAAGTCACCAAAGGCCACTGGGTTCTGCGGAAAGAGCCCAAGAGCCGATGAAGAGCGGCTCCTATTGGCCAAAGATGGAAGAATTTGAGTCAATAAATAATGACTTAATAAATTCAAGCAGAACAAATATATAAAAATATATATCTGTGAGTTTACAATGGTAAAAAAAAAATCAAACAAACCATTAAAAAGAGTACTCAAAAAACTCATCAGTCACCTTTGGAGGTGCCTTTGGAGGGCTCTGTCGTATTATTGTGTCAATTAATAAATAGAAGAATCAAGCACTTATCTTGCCGTTCCTGGTGTGGATTCTATGTCAGAGAGGGAAACGCCCGGACAGAGAGTCCAAGCAGGTGTCGGGCCAAGGTGATGGGCGTGACCGTGACCCCAGGGGGCTGTGTGGTGAAGCAGAGGTCAGCTGAGCACCAGGACGTGAGCAGAGGCTCTGGCACTGCATGTGCCCAGGCTCACATCTCAGCTGCACTCCTCACCAGCCTCCACTTCCCTGTCTGTAAAATGGGGAGACTATCTATGTCAAAGCACTGAGGCGGGGACTAACGCGGTAGCAGATGTGACCGGCTGACTCAGAGCTCAGTGGACGGCTGCCACTGCTGCGGACAGGGACTGGCTGGGGAGAAGGGCCCAAGGGAGCTGGCAGTGACTCTGCAGGGACAAGGAAACGTGATGGGAGGGAGGAACAAACAAACCAACCAACAAAAATTCAAGACCAAGGACCAGTGTTCAAACTAAATAAATGTCTTCCCACGGCAAAAATGGAAAATGTTCCCTCCCTCCCTTCCCTCCTTCCTTCTGTTTCTCTCTTTCTCTCTGTCATCAACAAATCTTGAGCTCCTTCAGGTTCCAGGCTCTGCCTAAATCTTGGAACGATGGCAGAGTCCCCACCCTCAAGGAAGGTGCCACCTAGTGGGAGAGAAGAAAGGCCACAAAGGTCCAACACAAGGAGACAGGCCCTGGCAGTGGGAAATGGGCCCCCGGAAGGAGACCCTGCTCAGACCAAATCCAGATTTAGCAAAAGAGGCCCACTAAATCAGCTTAGCAAGTACCCCTGCCCTGATACCTGATCACTCTCAACATCTGATCAGGTTGGTCGTCCTCCACCCAGGCCCCAGGTGACTTCTGGTCACCCTGGCCTGTCTTCTACAAAATTCCTGTTAGATCACATTAACCAGAAATCCTCCTTCCCCCTGGTGCTTCCTCTTAGTAATTTTCCGTCGCTGCCCCCACCCTGCTCCTTGGCTATATATAAATTCCCACGTGCCCACTCTGTGTTTGGACTTGAGCCCAATCTCTCTCCCCCACGGCAAGGCTGTGCTGCAGTGGTCTCCATACCTACTGCCGCAGTCTCCCCGTAGAATGAAGTCTTCCTCACCGTGCTTCAACAATGTCACTGAACAATTTTTCTCTAACGCTTCCCAAGTCCCCAGTGACCGTGCAGTGGATGGTGGATCCCGAGGTCACTGCAGCCAGCAAATCCGAAGCTTTCTCTGTTGACCGGGAGGAAGGGGCTGAGCAGAGGTGCAAAGAAGTGACTGCAAATCAGAGCAAGGGACCAGAGGGCGCTTAGCATGAGGTCACAGGCGTTCTGTTTATGTGCGGTCTGTGCACTTCCTGTTTGCTAAGTGTTCTGCTCATTAAACCTCCACATGTGCCTGGGGGTGAGCAGACTTTCTGGTCTTTCAGGTATCCCCAGTGTTCAAAAACAATTAATTGATAGGCCATTAAGCTGAGACAGCTCCATGAGTTCCATGAGCTCCATGACAGCTCCTTGAGTTCCAGGGCAAGCAAATCGAAGCACAACCCAATGTAAACAGTAAAGCAAAACTTAAGCTTAACCAATCAGAAACCTCCAAACTAACCCCTAACCAAGGATTTCCACGTAAACCCATCAAATATATTTTCTTTGTCTTGCTTCTGAGGACACCTTATAGAAGTCCCCCCACCCCTTTCACCCCAATTCAATGGACAGCTCAACTGCTTGTGGGCTGATGCCGCCCGATTCATGAATCCTTGAAAGTGCAAACAACCTCACTGACATTTTCACGTGCCTGAGTTTGCCTTTTAACACCAGAGGGCTGCAGCAGGGGTGGGCAGCGGGAAAGGAAGAATCTGTTAACCTGTAAGAATTGATATCTCCAAGATAACTTACCCATTAGCTTTTAAGTTATAAACACATGTGTGCATGTTGTAAATGATTTCCAGCCAGACAGGATCACTTGTTCCTGTTCCATTCCATCCTTCTGCTGCATTCGCTGGAGGCAACCACTGTTGGAACTGGTTCTGTGTTTACCCACTTTTCTGCCTGGATATGCAAGTGTAGATAAACACCCCTTGAATAGATGTTTGATTTTTAAAAAAAAAAAATCATACTCTATATTTCATTCTGTAACTTGCTTTTGTAACCGATAAATCACAAACATATTGTCATGTGATTAGCACTGAAAAACCCCATTCTTTTTAATGTACTCATTGCATGGACGGGGTACATGCTATCTGATAAATCCCTTCTTTTGTGGGCATCTGGATTATGTCGCTGTTTCAAGCAGTGCTACGATGAGTGTCTCCTCGCAGGTTCAGGAGTGCATGTGCATAGAAGGCAGGGAACGGAGGAGTCAAATGCCACGTGGGTTCAATGTCGCCCTCCAGAAAGACTGCACTGATTTGTATTTCCCAGGTCTTTACCACGTTAATAACTTTTAACCTTTGTCAGTTTGAAAGGCAAAATGACATTTCATTGTTTTAGCATCTGTAATTCTGAGCAAATCTGGCAATATATTATGAAAACCATGACAAGAGGAATTTGGTATGACACACATACATTTATTTATTTATTTTTTATTAATTTTATTTTATTTTTATCATATTATGGGGGTACAAATATTGTTAGGGTTACATATATTGCCCCTGCCATTCCTCCCCCACCCCCTGCCTTACCAAAACATCAAGCGTGTCCCACCCCCAGGTGGTGCGCATGGCACCTATTTTGTAAGTGTAAATTCTTCCCCTCCTCGCCCCTCCCATCTGCCCACCACCCCATTAAAGTTTGTTTGTTTTCTCTTCTTTTGACCTTTGGGTTACATTGTATATCTCTGCCTTTCCCTAGGAAGGGTTAGAGGTATTCCCTGCCCCCCGCAATGCTCCCCACAACCCTAAGATGTGTATCTCCCTCTCCCCCCAACCCTGGTGGGCACTATCACCATTTGAGCACCATACTTTTAATCAGTCAGTACCAATTTGATGGCGAGTAGATGTGGAGCCCGTTTTCTTGATCTTGGAGACACACAAATTTAGATGCCCTTGAGGATGACCATAGAGCCAGCACAGCGGCCGTGGGTTTGGAGAATCACGGGTGCCTGGAAACTTAGACCAAGGTTCACTAGGAGACCAGACTCAGGTGGCCTCTGAGAGGGTCACCTGCCAGCCTCGGCCTAGGGCAATAAGGCAGGCACTGAGACCTGCGGGTGGTGTCCCAGGAAACGAGAGGCACCAGTGCCTGGGGGCTCAGAGGGGCCCTACTGAAGCAAACCTCTGTACAGTGCACCGCCAGAGACACTCGGGGACCTTTCTCTGTTTGCTAAAATGTGTTCATTCCTCTGCAGCCTCTAAAAATCCAAGTGGGCACCAAGGGCGACTACCCATGGGAGGATCCCTGTCCATTGCTACCTAGGCAGGAAATATCATGCCTCCTCAGAACGTCTCTTTCCTGGCAGTAGACTACAAGGGGATTCCAAGGGACTTGGAGAGAGAACAAAGATTCATGAGGTCACCACTCACATTGGGGATTTCGGAGGGTGATGGCAGCACACCACCTTAACATGAACCATAACCCTCACCCTAACATACACTAACACTAACCTAATAATAACACTAACACAACCCTAACCCTGACCATAGGCCAGTCCTAGCCCTATCCCTAGCCCAGTCCTAGCCCTAACCCTAGCCCAGTCCTAGCCCTATCCCTAGCCCAGTCCTAGCCCTATCCCTAGCCCAGTCCTAGCCCTAACCCTAGCCCAGTCCTAGCCCTAACCCTAGCCCAGTCCTAGCCCTATCCCTAGCCCAGTCCTAGCCATAGCCCTAACCCTAGCCCAGTCCTAGCCCTAACCCCAGCCCAGTCCTAGCCCTAATCCTAACCCAACTCTAGTCCTAACGCTAACCAACCTCTTTGCAGCTAATTCCCAGGACGGGAGGCCAAATCTGGCCAGCCCCCAGAAGCCCTCCACACACCTTCCCCCCTGGAGTGTCTTCCTTGGCCCCAAGAGCCACTACTATCTGTTTTTCCAGAAAAGATTACTTCTAATTCTTCTCCACTGCCCAGGCAACGGAAATTCTATGGTGGAACACTGTAATATGTTTAATGCATTTAAATTAATTTCATATAATTGAGAGATCAAGTTTGTTCAGTTCAAGGATAGAAAGCTTTAATGAGAACTCACAAGATATGGAGGAGTGACCCTAAATTCAACGAGCGAGTGTCGCTGCAGTTCTATTGGGCTGCCTTCCGCCTACCACAGACCACACTCTTCATCAAAGAAAAGAGAGTATTTAGGAACTAGTTGCACCAAAAAACAAACAAACAAAAAATAAAACCACAAAACCCACCAAAACACTAAAAAACCCAAAGCAGTTGCCAATATAAATAGATGTGTGTATGAACATGGCAGATTTGAGTCTTATTCCACAAATTCAGTTGTGCAGGAAACACCCCATTTATTTATTTAAATCTAATCACTATGGATTCAGGCATCACTGGGGTTCCTTACAGTCCCCCAAAGCCATAAGGCACTGCGGTCACCCTTACCTGCTGCTTACTATGGGCAGCTGGGGAGGTGCCCAGCTCCAAGCCCTTGTGGTCCTGTCACCAAGCCCTGGAGGGTTTGCTGGGGCTAAGCACCTCAAAGCCAGGATTCAGCCCATCTAGGTGTACCCCAAGCCACTGCCCCAGGAGACCCAGTCACTTTTGGGGTAACCAAGAGCGATGAGCCTGGGACCCCCCAGTTGCTGCAACCCAAGAGCCTCAGTCCCACTCTAGGCTAAGGGACAGCCCTGGCTCTTTCCCTCTGTTTGGTGGCACCATCCTCTCCCTGCTCCCTCTCTGGGACAAGGAGCACAGCCTCCTCACCCCTCACAGGGAGTAGGTCTGCCCCCAGGTTTCTG